TTCGTTAATCTAGATCTAAGTTAACAAATGAATAATTTTTGTTTGTGTTACAGCTCAACAATATAGAAGAATTTGCAGTCCACATCTGTAATCATTTTCTAACAACACATAAACAGGTAAATAAACTTCTTCACCATTCCCCCTTTTATATCAAGCATAATTTTATTTACACTGTGAGTACTCATGCAAGATGGAAAACATTTTGGGAGAAGTAATTCTTCCTTGCATGAGAGATGTTGCAGATTGCAAGTTTAGAATAAACTTCAGTGAATTAACTGAGAGATATTTGGCAGGTTTTAAAATTTGAACCGAGTGTATCTAGGCTTGGTTTTGATTTGCATGTTAACAAACATGATCATCTTGAGGGGAGACAACATTGTGCATGGTTGTTTATGGAAGGTTTGACTGTAATGTTTTTGTTGTTGTTAAAAGTTGGATCATTATAGCTTGTTGCTTATTTTTATTTTTTTTTTTTTTTTTCAACCAGGTAGTTCATGTAACTGTCAACATTGATGAGTCACCCTGGAAACGTATCCAACAGGTAAAAAAAAGTGTACACTTTGTGCTGATGTAGTAATAATCTGCAAACTCCCAAAAGTGACTAGTTGAGGAATTCTCTCTACAGTCAGATAAAGACAATTATCATGAAAATTCTGTATCAGCTTACTAGATATGCTCCTCCGAGTTTTAGTTTAACCCTTAAGTATGATATACATGATATAAATATCATGCAGACAAGTTATGAGAATCAAGTCATGAGAATAACGAAAAATATCAGTTATGGGATGACTAATTGATCCGATACCAAATTCTCCAAACTGACATAATGAGAATCATTTGGCAGACAGCAAGGAGGATTACCAATGAGATCCTGGAAGTCAAAGGGTTAAAATTAATTTCAGGTCAAAATGGTTTCATGTTACAACATTTACACTAAATTCTTGAGAACAGCACACACAAAAAAATTTAAAGTATGAACTTCCATTTGATATGAATGGCCAAGACCCTGACTTAAAGGTTGTTGTGATAATTTTCATATCTTTATTAATAATTAGCTTGATTTTTTTTCTCTGTTACAGAAAGGCGTTGACCATGCTCATGCATTTGTTCTCACTCCAGAAGTGACAAGATTCTGCTCCGTTACTCAAGCAAGGGGAGGTGCAGATATGTGTTTTTACTAATAACATTTTTAACACTGATACATAGAAGCTGTTCCATTCCCAGAGTTTGTGCATTTGTAGTCAGTAATAATTATCTAAATTACAGTGTTTTTACTTACTGACCATATACTTTCTACAATGTAACAACAATCAAACCTAATAATATTTCACTGTTCACTCCTTTCTTGCAAAATTTTTTTGAATTAATTATAATAATTTACTGGTTATTTAAACCAAAATGTAACTTTTTTATTTGTTCAGAGAACATCTTTTTTTTTTACTTTGAATTTTTTATGACAGTACTAGTAATTGCAATTCTGAACTTTGTAAAACATTTATTGGCTGTAATGAAGATTTTTGATAACTTACTAGTCAGTATTAACTTGTTAATATTAACCCTTTAACTCCCATGAGTGACCAAGACAGAATTTCTCCTTACAATAGTAATACAATATTAAGCAGACAAGTGACGAGAATAAAGAAAAGTAAACTAGGGGTTAATATCGGTTGATCCATTATGTAGTTGTCAGAACTAACATCTTAAGAATTGTACGGCAGGCAGCAAGGAGAATTACTAATGAGATCTTGGGAGTTAAGGGTTGAATATTTGTGACATTGTCTTGTTTTTCATTCAGAGGATCCCAAGGTATCAAGTGGCCTCAAGGAGATGCAGATATTGAAAACAACTCAATCAGGATTTACAGGTTAAAATCTCATCATTAGCACTTCATTCTACTCTTGCAACAAAGGTTCAACACCTTTCTTCAAAGTTTTATGCTTATAAGTTAGTTAGAGAAAAATGACCTGGTAACAATCTCTAATCTCTTCCAGGATTTTGCAAAGACAAATACACAATTTTGCCAGAAGCTACTGATCGTCCATTCTCCACCAAAGTGTACTGCCAGTACAAGTTTGACACCACAAAGGGTGTGGACTTCTCTTCCTGTTGGTGAGACATCAATATTGATTCTCCTAAGTTTAATTTCTTTTTCTTTTTCAGTGCTTACTCTTGGTTAAGGGAGTAAAAATCAGGTCTCTGAATTGTGACCAGTAGAGCTCCTATTGTAGGAATCAGCTTGAATTTCTTGTGTTAGATTGGGATTTAGATCTCAAGGTTCATGTGTCAAAAAAGGGAGCTTTATCATTAAAATGAAATTAATTTCAGTTGATTTATATGATATTTCCTTGGAGATATTTAACAGACCAAAAGAGAATACATTTGGATCAGGATTTCTTGTTACATTTTATATCAAAGTAGTTATTTTGAGAATTATTTTGCATATTATAGATAATCTTGTTGTATTCTAAAAGGAATCTTGTCAAGAATACAATCTTGGAGGAGTTTGCTGGGCCTCTGGACACTGGGGTCTACTCACCCTCTGTACAGGTAACTGCATTTTATGTCCTAATTGATGTTATTTGCAGAACATCAAAACATCAAGAGTTGGCGTAATGTCATATATATAGGGAATATTCCATGGAAAGTACACACAAACGATTTTTATTCACGAGTTGAAATACATCAACAAACAAGTGAGTGAAAACACTTTCCATGGTATGAAATTTTTATTTCATACATACTGAGATCTTTTACATTTCAATTCAAAGATTTGAAGTGAATGACTGTGAAAATATATCATTCATCCAATCAGAGACACAAGCAATAGTACTTTACAGTGAAAATCTCAGTATGTACACACGTATGCAATAAAAAACTTAACCAACTCAACAAAATTTAGATGTCAATGAAGATATCCATTGCTGTTCTTTGGTTATAACCAAGAACTGTCAACTCACAACAACACAATGTGATTAGGTTATTAAAAGAAAGTAGGAGTGGTCACTGCCCCATTACAGGGCTCATTTATTTTCATAGCATATTGATTATATAATATTGGGATACTTTTTATACTTAATTTTTTTGTGACATGATTTGTTAAGGTGCTCCTGCCATTGAACTCCTTATAGATATTTTGGATAAACCAAGAGTTGCTTAAAAAAATGTGAACAAAAATCGATAGGTTTCCATTATCATACTCTTTTATGAATTAAGAGTGATTTCACTCAAAGGCAATTTTTATTATTTTTATTAGATTTATGCTAATTATGGTAAAACAATTTTTTTGGGTAGAAATGATGAGTAAGACAAAGATGTGAGTTAAAAAATACAGTTAATCCATCTGATAGTGGGTGCACAGGTACAGGTGGGGGGGGGGGGACCTGCCACCAATGGGCCAAAATTTTGGATTAATGATTATTTGATAAGGACCACGGCTCACTATTTGGTAAAAAGAGTTTTCTTACTTAAAAATAATTGTGTATATGATTCATCTGTCAAATAGAAACTTAAAATGTCAAATTCAAACCACCCTCAAAATATTTTGTTTAGCTGCAAGTACTCATTAAAAAAGATTTAAAATATGATATTCTGATGCTTCTTAAGCTTAAGAGGAAGTCCACTAGTTTGTAGATGATTGACAAAGACAGTCTTTTTTCTTTTTTTTGTGTGTGGTCTTAATAACAGAATACCTTATACAAGACAGAAGCAAAGATCTTGGGCAGTATTCCACAGGTGAATTGAAAAATTTCAGCTCTTTATCTTTTGAACAATAAAGACACACTAGCTGGTGTTTGTTAACATAGGAGCCTGAGATTTTGGTCCAAAAGTACTGGATTTTCATCTGCTATCACTACTTACTGACTGACCTACTGAGGCTATAATGCAATACATGTTTGCTTCTTTGCAGTGACCAAAAGCAGCTCATGATAATCAATATTTTGATCATCATCATCATCATCATTGTTGTCTTCATTGTCACCATCTTAACTAACCATTCATTTCTTTGGGGCTTATCAAGGCCCAAAAAATCTACATAAACATTATTTTTAAACATCCCAACTGGCAGAAGGCAGATTAGGTTGCTTTGAACAAATAGCACTTAACAAGAACACATCCCATAAGGATAAGGGCTTGAAATTGAATCCACCTGGCTGACAGTTTTGTATCCTAGTTGCTCTGTAGCCTTATCTGACTCCCAGTTGTAAAATTTGAGGGCCTTTACAATGCTGTTCTAAGCTTCTGCATTTTGAGTGTAACTTAAGTGCTGTTTAATTTACAGATTGGTTATGTGGAAATGGTGATGCCAAACATCCATTACTTCACAGTGAACATGGCACCATTTGGAATAGCAAACAAGGATGAGGTCAGAATTTTAATGAAAAGTAACATATCAATGCTGTTCCACTGATCCTTTGAACCTTATCCACCTCACACATGTAGCTGTAGAGTATAGCATAGATCACCAATTGATCATTTCCAACTTACACAATTTTGTGTCTGCAGAATGTCTGTCCTAGCCTACAGAATAGGACTAATTTTGGGGTGTGAGTGCTCAGTATTATCTCAGTGAAAACAAAGCTGCCTTCTTTGATTTTATATCAGTGGAAGGCTGGGGAGAGAACAAAATTTATACCAAGGGATGAGCACAGGGGGAGGGGGGGAGGCAAATGCTCAGCATTATTTTTGTGGAAATTATAGCTGTCATCTTTGATTTTTACAGTAGTGGCAGGCTGGGGAGAAAACGAAATTTGCACCAAGGGGGTGAGAGTCAGTCAAAGGAGGGGGGACAGGGTGAGCCCTTCCCTGACCCCCATCCCCCACCATTGACTCTAACTCCAAATCAAACATGGCTGTATGAATAGAGAACCATGAGCCCCACTAAGATGCCTACATTACAGGCTAAGTCTGTCCCAGTTGTCAGCTATTTCCTCCATCCTTGCTTCTACAAGTATCTCTCTAGTCCATGATTCTCTGGGTTCTCTATGGCATACTGGTGTCTGGAATGTGAAACATTAATGAGTACTGTTTTTTCTTTTGGATGACATTGCTACAATAGTCTATTACAGGAAATCTCCCTTCCCCCTGTCAGCTCTTTTCAATTTTCCTAGACAATTGGCTGGTACCGTTTAAAATTCCTAGATAGATTGAATAACCTGAGTAACGTTTATTACTCTTTTCTTAACTGGTAGGTTCTGATGGCTACAGACAAGCCAGCTGGTATGATAAAGGCAGCTCTGTCAAGGAAACCTGTGGCAAAGCTGTAATCAGCATGGGCTGTTTGTGACTGAAAGGGCTCACTTACCTGTGAATCAAAATTTGTGAATCTTTCTCCCACAGTTGATTCAGTAATTTGCTTTAACGCAAACAACGCATCTATTTTATCATTGATAATTATTTTTGATGCCTTGAAATGAAAAGTTAAGCAGGGCGATGAGACAATAATAATTATTCTTGTTACAATAATGTGATAGTTCGTTACTGGACAAGTGAAAACTGTTTGACTTTGGTTTTTAACCTTTTAACTCTCAGGATTTGATTGTTAATTCCTCCCTCTAGCTGCTACACAATTCCTGGTAAACTAGTTACGAGAATCTGATGTTAGATCAAGGTAACAACTTCGGCCTGATAAGTTTTAGTATTCTCATTACCTGTATGCTAGATAATGTATGGATATCATAGGGAAAACTTACAAGATTATCACTTCTGGGAGTTAAAGAGTTTAGTGCATTCTTAAATCATGGGTAAGAGAATTAGATATCTGAGATAATATACTCTTCGTGATCTCAATCGATGTTAATTCTTGAATCCCATACATACATACGTGATTTTTATTAGCATTTCTAGAAAAACTCATAGATTCATTGTTGTCAATTTGGAAATAGGAATTACATAAGAAAAATCGGGTAATTCAAACTTTTTAAAGGTATACATAGGAAATATTTCAAACTAAGTACAAACGCTGAGGATTGGCCTCTTTATATGTGAAGCCAACGAACTGCCACTATAGACCGGCAACTCGGTAGGGGCAGTTCTTGGTATTTTTGGTAAGGGCTCCAGAAAAGACAGAATTTTTATCTCCCCTTGAGCCCAAATAAGCAAAGAATACTTTAACACAGGTAATTTTTTGTATTCTTGATATTAAGCGATAACATGCGATCGTAATGAGAGATTAAAGAGCATTGAAAAAGATCTTGGTGCCAGTCATAAAAGCGTACATGTAGTTAGTTTCTCCGTTATTATAGCCGTTGCTAATATACCCAATTCGATTCCCACATGTTCATGAGTTTATACATCAAAACACTCTTACTAGTCATTAATCAATGTCCCTAGTTATAAGTCATGATTAGCTGAAACCACTCGTCAATCACCATGTCTAGTCATCATTCATTGGATGGATCTCATCGCGGATGTTAAGGGTATTTTCCATTCCTTCCATTTGACCTTTGTGGTAACTTTGTCTGTGGTCTTTTGACGCAAAAAAAAGCTCTCCAGTGTTAATTCAAAGAGAGACGCTGATGGTTAAGAGTGGAGAGGAGGAACGCGAATTGCAAAGGAAAATTAAAAAAAAAAAGTTAAATTTTCCAGTGTAAACGAGTTTTGACAGCCTCGTTTTCAAAATAAGGGCAAGCTCAAAACCTCGTGTGTCTTGACTGCGTTGGTTTGCTTGGCCTCGATTTATGCGAGAGGCTTCCAGAATCTCGGAAACAGTCCATTTACGAGCTAAGCGATGGAGCACATTATTGAATCATGATTACTTCCACGGACGGAAACAATACCGATTAGGTTAGTATTTGTTGTTCTGAGCAAGGTTAAATCGCATTTCTCTTCTTGTTCTCGCTCAAGAAAAAAAGAGGTGAACGTCAGTTCCATTTTGTTGGACTGAACCAAGAAGCTCAACCTCAATGTCAAAGTCATTCAAGAACAGTCCAGGATCACAAAAGTGAGAAAATACAACAGCAGATTCACCGTTTTCAGGACTTCCTGCTGTCGCAAATACTGAACATGACCTCGGAATTTTCATAAATTAGTTTTTATACATTAATTCTGGTGCGCGTGTCTTCAAACCTAGATCTGAGCTAAATAGAGATCGGTGCCAAATGGTTGTCCTTCTTTGAAACAGTGAATGGCCTCGTCGTGTGCCCAGGGGGATTTTCAAGGCGGAGCTTGAGAGAGAAACAGTCGTGTAAGGGCCGAACTAGGACTGTGGTGCTCATCCGAGGGCGGCGCCTGTTAACTTTTTACATCCACATTGCGGTGCTTCTTCGAGGGATGTATGTGGCTTTCTCCAGTTGGGAGCAGAACGATATACCGCGGAGGTCACGTTAATCAATAGATAATGACAAGGGGGAATATGGCCGTGGTTTTACGCTTCTGTAATGACTACAATCAGACCCCACAATGACCTACTCACAGCTGTAAAGAAGCGCAAGCTGAAGTGGTAAGGACGTGTTTCTCGCTCATCAAAGACTATCCTGCAAGAAACAGTCCGAGGAAGCCGTAGGAGAGGAAGATTGAAAAAGAGATGGGAAGACAAGATCCGAGAATGGACTGGATTAGACCTGGCAAAATCCCAGAAGGCTATGGAGAACAGAGACAAGTGGAGAAGGCTGGTGACATCATCTTCAAATGCGCCCTAACGGCATCTGTGTAAGTCAAGGGATAGGTGACAGGTGAATGACTACAAAATACTGGTCAAGTAAAATGTTCTAAGTTCAAGTTCAGTTATGTTCAAGTTGATATCTATAAAATTATATCACTATATTGGCAATTCTCTTTTGAATTTCTTTTCTTAAGTTGAAATTCTATTTAAAGCGAGGCATCCTACTTCGTCTTACAATTGAACAGATCAGACCGAAGAACCCGGTGACGATTATTTTGAACCCCGCCTCTAGTAGAAGGAAAACTTATTTGAATTACAAATAATCTTTAAAATTACTATTCAAATTTGTGCTTAGTCTTGCACGTGGAAACAGCTTACGAACTACAAGAAATTTGAGTGTCTTCTTAAGCTTTTATGGAGTCAAGAAACGCGCGATTTCGGTCCTGTTACCTTGGATATTGTCTGGTCCGTCCACGTCGGCGAGTGTTTCTTATGCTGAATCAAGTGGTTCAGATACCATGCCGAGGATTCTTACTTTTCACTTTGCTACGACCTATCTTCAGGTAAATAACCTGAGGAAAGATACATTTGGAAAGAAATACAGTGATTATCGTTCTCGTCGTGGCCCTTGTAAAATTAACTAACAGAATCGAATGTTAGCAGGAAGAGAGTAATGCATGTAGCACAATTTAGGACAAATACTCAGTGGTAGCCGCCATGATGGTTCTTCTTGAACGTGACTTCAGTGGCAACGCGAGAAATTCGTACTTTATTCAGTCTTGGTGTAATTATCGCTTATTCACTTTGTCTCTTCCCATTACTGTATATATTTTTCGACTAGATTTGGTGATTGTGTTGAGTAAATCAACCTAACGTGTTTAAACGCACTTGTCACGTTTCCCATACCCTCCAACCCGAGGAGTTAATCGTGAAAACGTTATAACGTAGAATCCAGTTACCACTTGCTTTTATTTTAATTGTCAGGAAATCTAACCAAATATTTAGTAAAATTTCCGCACAGCCCCACACTACATTATGCATTCAGTTCTTGGATAGAGAAAACGACAAAAGCAAGACATTGCCATTGGGAAAAAAACAGATTTGTTTTACAATAGTATGGGGCTGTGCGGAAATTTTACCAAATATTTAATGGTACCAAGCTATATGCACCTGCATCCCAACCTTAAAGAGTCGCTATACTCTTTTTACACTTTATTATTGAAACAGAAACCAGAATAAATTCTGGCAGCTTTGAGAGTGTGTTGGCAGAGACAAACCTTTATTTGGAATCTTTTTCTTTTACTCTTCCTTGCCATATTGAATGTAGAGGCCCATCGCTGAATTACGATGATAGAGTTTTTGATGATTTTTCTTTCTACGAGCTGTCTTTGTTACTTTCATTCAACATCAAATATGGGACTCCTCTCAAAGATTTCTTTTTCTTTTTTTTACTAGGTATTCATGAAGTCTTGATGTATTTCCCCTTTTCCCTCTAGAAAAACATTAAGTTGATACAGCCTGGATATCAAGGAATGCAAGAGCGGAAAGAACGAAAAATCAGTATGCCATAAGGTTGGATTTCTAGTTTTGTAACAAATTAACTCATCTGAGTTTGTAAATTCGGTCAATGCTCAAAACTAACTAAAGTAAAAAATGAAGGAAGCTGCAAATGAAATTGAATCCAATTTTTACACAGTCCCTATTAAAGTTTGAAATGGATCAATTCTATCTCTCCATATCTCTCGGTGGCAAACATTGGTATTACATTACCATGGCAACTATAAGCTCGTCAGTTTTTCTGAGGTAAAAGGCCAAAAATCTAATTCACCTAAGTTATTCTCAATTAATCACTCATTTTGTTTAAAAATGCTCATTACGATACAATTTCCTAATGCCTTTGTTCAATGACACTTAAGGACATTAAATTTGTCGGCAAAAAATGTGCTGGCTCTAGACGAGTTTTTTTGAGCCAGAGATTGACTTTGATTATCTAAAATGAAAAGTACCTAGATACGTACGTATTCATAATATACCTTTCTCCTTTTTTCTCCATAGGACAGCGTCGAGAAGAAAATGAGAATACCTCGAAATCAAGAAAGTCGAGGAAGGAAGAAATACATGACAACTTCCAACAAGGTGAGATCATTGGCTTTTTATAATAATTATCTATCAAGGTCCATTTGTCTGTGTTGTGCGATGTAACCTGGATTTATCGTATCTTTCTGGTTCGAAACTAACTCTATCAATAATAGAGAAAAATTGTGAAATGAACTAATTCATTTACTGCCTGATTTCTTGGATCTCTTTGAATTCATGAATACTTTTCATCTGTGTCACCAGTGTGTAAAAGAAATAACTGGCCTATCAAATTCAACTTTTTCTACACCTTTTTAAAGAGAGTACAACCTAGAAAAGTGCAGACATTTCATAATGCATAAGCATGTTTGGTATCTGCTCAGGGGGCTCATCCAAGATCTTGAATTTGTAGAATATTGCATCTGAATTCCTTTTGTTTGAATCTAGCCTGGCTTCACACCAAGATGCCTACTTTTATTATCTCTAAATAGACGTAATACTGCCCTAGGCCTCGATTAAAAATTTTTCCTCTCCGGGATGCTTTACTTTTGCAAAGCAATCCTCGTTCAAGGTTAAACTCATGAAAAAGGGGCTCTTACAACAAATACTTGAGGTAGGATCTAGGTAGTTTTGACGGTTGACGGTTAATTTTTTTTTTCGATTTTGACGATTGGCGAATAATTTCTAAAGCCTTTGACCATTGACGGTTAAATTTTAGGGCCTTTGACGATTGATATTTATTAGAAAAATATATATCTATTCGTTCAAATCAATATTTAGTTTTTCGTTTTTTGTGCTAAGATTGATAAATTTTACGGTTGTATCCGGCGCACTTAAAAAATTCACTCTCATTGGATTGCTGCGTAAGTATCTCGCGCGCTTTTGAATTCTCTTTGTTACGTTAGTATCTCGTGCGCTTTTCGAATTCTGTTTGATTGGATTGTTACGTTAGTATCTTTCGCACTTTTATAGTTCCTTTTTGGTTGGATTGTTACGTTAGTATCTTGCACACTTTTAAAATTCTCTTTGATTGAATTGTTACGTTAGTATTTGGCGCACTTATAGAATTCTGTTTGATTGTATTGTTACGTTAGTATCTCGGACACTTTTTGATTTCCTTTTGATTGGATTGTTACTTTAGTATCTTTCGCAATTTTAAAATTATTTTTGGTTGAATTGTTGTGTTGGTATC